GTCGGTTAGAGCGTGGGTCTAATAAGCCCAAGGTCGCAGGTTCGACCCCTGCTGGCGGCAAACATTTTGTTAATGATTGAGTGAGCCCAAGCATGTGAAATGAGGATCTCATTGTACAAAATCTATTATCATTGATTACAAGTTAAGCAAATAGAAAAGAGTCGCTTGACTTCTACAACTACTTGGTAACATCTGTTTTTAGGGAAGTCACATTTGAAAATGTCGAGGGTTTCACCGAAGAGGGGCTGCCATTCCTTATTTATTTCCGTGATCCATCGAAAAAAAGCGACGATAAGGTCTTCATTGATGCGGTAAGATTCCATAGTTAAACTGCAACCTTAGAAAAGTTGCTTAATAATTGCTCATGCTTTGAGAACTTTAAAACAACTCTCGTTCAGGTAGTTCGTGAGCTCTATGATCAGCGTATGTCCATTAACCCACTTCTTGCTGATGGGTTAAAGTTCGTTCATCCCCTAAGGCATCTTGGTAAAACAACAAAGGTAAGAAGAGAATTGCACACTTGCTTGTGAAAACATAATGCTCTGAAAAATTTAGGATCTCCCTGTCCTTGCAATCGACTCGTTTGTGCACATGTACTTATTCCCAGATATATCGCAATTATCGCAGCCAGGAGTGTTAAAGCAGGTGAGAAATTTACATGATGGTTTATTTAAGCAACGAACACGTCGGCCCATCTGGTCAGTGACCTCCGTCGAGGACGTTCTTCGTGAGAAATCTATTCCAGAACTTTCAGTGACCATCATAGACATTCCCTCCCATTAACCAACCCATCGATGCTTGGCTTTAGAGACTTATACCGCTAGATGGCGAAGACGAGAAGATCTCATAACTGGTGAACTCTACGAGATGTTGAGTGCGTCGATGGGACGTCATTCAGCGCACTGTGTTTGTTCGGACAGCTAGACGATCCACAGTATTAGGCCACATCTCTGCTGCGTAAAAAGGGCTGGGAAATCGATTGAGTAGCTGGGCTCATTAGCTGGTCTGTGGCTTCCATTATGAGCGCGAAGCGGCCCAAGCTGCTCTACGCCTCCTGCTTAGTTCTTCTTTTAGATTGTTCTACATGTTCCTCAGACGCCCGAAATAAACGTAAGAAGACGTCTCTGCGATTGGAGAGACTTCTAATTATCTCCTGTCCTCGCAAAAGATGAGCCCAATCCTATTTTCCTTACTTTATTTAGTTCTTTCACCTTCCCCTCCAGTTTTGTGATGATCTTTGAGAAGAGAACAATGTCGTCTGCATATTGAAGATTTGAGAGGAATCCGAATTGTTCCTCTCTCTTCAAGGTCCCGTAAATAGCTTTTGCTACATGGGGCCGCTTTTTCAAACCCACATCGTTATTGATATTTAAAGGGGACGATGAAAAAGATGTACTGTTGTAGAACAGTTGTAGAAGGGCCAGTGCCTCAGACAAGGCAGGCTCACTCTTAACGACGAGCGCTGACAGTATGGCGTCTCGACACGGTCAAACATCCAGGCGCCGTACTGTCAGCGCTGGTCGTCACGTTCTAATACTCAACCAAAGTTATGACAAGAGGTAAACGATGTCTCGGCAAATTTCGATAACCCCCAAAACAATCTAGATATGATCTACCCAGCTGAATTTCTTGCGAATCTAGCTTGTTTTACCGGCTGGGAATCCAATGTTTTTGATATGAGAATGAGAATTATACACGATCAGCAGGCGTACTAAACGGTATTAGAGTCCCCCTATCTCCTTTCTGTGAAGGAGGGTTGTTTGGGAGCTACTCTACTGGCCGGGAATCCCCTTTCGAAGGTAAGACTTAGGTGCCCGCAAGTGTCTCGTGTAGTCGATTTCCTTCAGTTCTAACAGGTCGGTCGAAACGTGGTCCATCCCGGAGCCTGCATGCCATGGTTGCCTTTATGTTCTGGATAGCGGCGCGTACTTCAGAAGG